CCTTTAAATTGGTAGAAGGCACTAAGCCCTGTGCCTTCTGTTTCAATACGAATTCATAATTATTTGACTAGGACAGGAACAAAATGATTGACCTCTTGAGATGTCACTCTTGTTCTGTGTCTTCTGTCAAGTCTAACATTATTTCTCTTCTACTGAGAGACTGAGACAGAGGACTCGCCCTCAAACCACTCCCAGGTGGATCTCCTTCCCTCCCTCCCTCCCTCCCTCCCTCCCTCCCTCCTTCCTTCCTTCCTTCCTTTCTTCTTTCCTTTCTTTCCTATTTATTCTAGATAGGATCTCTCTGTTTAGTCCAGGCTGGAGGTAATCCTCCTGCCTCAGTCTTCAAATGCAGCTCTGCTCACTCCTCTCTCCAACACTACTCAGGGAAGGGTCTGAGGGATCTCTTGCTCCTCTGAAAACCTGTCCTTAAGATGCTTAAGCTACCACTGGCCTTCCCCACCCCAGCCAGCAGCACTATGCGTACAGACCCTGCTGCAGCTCTGTATACAATGGAAGCATTAAAGGACACTCTGTGGGGAGGTTGGGAGGGGAGTTTCCCTTAGCTGTGTCAGCACTTGGTGAGAAATCCCCCTAGAGTGCTGGAACCCGCAGCGAGGGGGCTGGGGCTGATCACAGGACAAGCAAGAGGGACTTTTAAGCTGGTTCCCAAAGGGTCACCTGAACCTGGCAGAGGCAGGTCCACGAAAAGTCCCTTTTTAGGGAGACAGTGTTTTCCACTTAATGGGTGTGGAGAAGCTGGAAGCAAGGGCAAAGTCAGAGGCCTCCCTTCTCTGCAGTGGCCTGAGTCCCCCTTCAGCAGGGAGGGGCAGAGCAGTGGAAGAGCTTAGGTTTGCCCATAGCTGTCCATTTCAACCCCTCGTTCCCTGGGGACTTACCCACAGATGCCTCGGAACACTGACGTGAGCCAACCCTGACACAAAGCAACCCCATCCGTTTTGAAAATCAGCTAATTCCTTAGGTCAGCTTCCAGACGCTTTCTCAAGCCTTCTTGGCTTGCAGAGCCTATACACAAGCTTCCCAGCCCGTGATAGCCCCGGGACCAAGGATTGACCTTGCTCTTACTTAACATTATTCTGGTTGAACTTCAGAGAAACAAAGTGAATCATCACAAAAGGTAGTTATGGACAAAGAGGTCACCCTTCTGTAGATCCTGCTTCCACTTAGTGCCCGACAATGGTAGTCATCATCGTCCTTGTGAACATCTGTTTTGTGTGTGCACACATGTGCAGGTACAAGTGAACACACGTGTGTACATGAAGGTCAGAGAGCAACCTTATGTATCATTTGTTGGGCATCATCCACTTTTTGGTTTGTTTTGCTTTCGAGGCAGGATCTCTCCCTAACCTAGAACTTACCAAGTAGGCTAGGTGTCCTAGCCGGGTTACTGTACTCTGATGAAACGCCTCGACCAAAGCGACTGGAGGAGGAGAGAGCTCACGCTTCTACCTCACTCTCCATCACTGGAGGAAATCAGGACAGGAACCCAAACAGGGTGGGGACCTGGAGGCAGGAGCTGATGCAGAGGCCATGGAGGAGGCCTGGCTTTCTCCCCCTGGCTTGCTCAACTTGCTTTTCTATAGAACCCAGGACCACCAGCCCAGGGGTGGCCCCTTCCACAATGGGCTGGACCCTCCCCTGTCAATCACTAAGTAAGAAAATGACCTATAGTCTAGCCTACAGTTCAATCTTAAGGAGGTCTTTTCTTAATGGAGGTTCCCTCCTCTCTGATGACTCTAACTTGTGTCAAAAATAAAAAATTAGCCAGCCTAGTATGCTTGGCCCAAGAGTGTCAAGAAGCCACCTAAATCAGTCTGCCTGGTGCTGGGATTATAGCTATGGCAATACTATAGCCCAGATCTTTTTTTGTTGTTTGTTTTGTTTTTTTGTTTGTTTGTTTGTTTAGTTGGTTGGCTTATCAAGACAAGGTATCTCTGTGTAACAGTCCTGGAATTAGCTCACGTAGATCAGGCTGCTTCAGACTCACAGAGATCCGCCTGACTCTGCTTCCCTAGTGCTGGGACTAAAGGCGTGCACCACTATCACCTGGTTGGTTTTGATTTTTTGAGACAGGGTTTCTCAGGGTAGCTCTGGCTACAGAGAACTTGGAAGAACTTGCTCTGTAGACCATGCTGGCTTCAAACTCACAAAGATTTGCCTGCCTCTATCTCCTGAGTGCTAGGATTAAAGGTGTGTGCTACTACTGCCCAGTTTTTTCTTTTTAAAATAATTTATTTGTGTCAGATGGTGGTGGCATGTGCCTTTAATCTCAGAACTCAGGAGGCAGAGGCAGGCAGATCTCTGTGAGTTCGAGGCCAGCCTGGTCTACAAGAGCTAGTTCTAGGACAGTCAGAACCGTTACACAGAGAAACCCTGTCTCGGAAAAAAAAAACCCAAATAATAATAATAATTTATTTGTATTTTATGTGCATTGGTGGTTTGCCTGCATGTATGTCTACGTGAGGGTGTCGAATCCCCTGGAAATGGAGTTACAGACAGTTGTGTGTCACCAAGTGGGTGCTGGGAATTGAACCCAGGTCCTTTGGAAAAGCTGTCAGTGCTCTTAACCCATCTCTCCAGCCCTCTCCCCCCCACTTTTAACAACTCCCATGAGTACTGATCCCAAGAATCAAAGCTCACAGAGGCAGACTGTGATACAGGCAGCATCTGGCTGTATCAAACTAGCAAGACCAGAATCTAACCTAGCCAGAATCCTTGGCCAGATTTTCTCCCTCCATCTGCTGCTGACGGGTTGGACCAGGTAGTCAAGCTTCTTGTCTGGGTCTCCATTGGAAGTGCTTGCATAGGAAGTGGAGGAGGAGTTTCATGGGACAAGAGAAAATCCTTTATGAACTGTCTACCCCCCATGGAGGTGGGGGAGAAAGGTGCTGAGCTATGTTCTGGAGTTGTGGGGAAGGGGTAACCTAGCAACCCCTGGACTCTGCACAGTCACAATGCAACAGCTTTGTTAACAGTTCCGACAAGCTTTACCCTTGATTAGTCTTCTTGTCCGTCCTGGTAAGGCACCAGGGGCTTCTTGCTCATATGCTGTAGGGACATCTTCCTGGTAAGTCCTCTGGAGGCAGGAAATGAAATAGGCTCTCGCTCTAGGTGAGGACAAAGGAACGGGGCATAAGAGGGCATCTTGTGGTTAGCTTGGTGGTTACCTTCAGATCTCTTGTACCTGACTGTCAGGGAGCCCAGGGTCAAAGGCAGAGGAGAGCAGGGATGGGCTACAGTGACCTCATCTGTTGCCCCTGTTAGGTCCCTACTGACCCCTCTAGTGTGGGTGGTGAGCTCATTGAAGCAGTTTAATGGGTCACGTCTAACATGCATAAAGCTAAAACACACACACATACACAAACCAAATAAACAAAAATCACAAGAAGCAAGTATCCATGTGCATCACATGTATAGCTACTGTTTTAGAGTTTCCCATATCCATTGCACATGCTCTCTCTCTCTCTCTCTCTCTCTCTCTCTCTCTCACACACACACACACACACACACACACACACACACACACACACACACACGAACACACACGAATTGAGACCAGGGGAAAACTGGATTTCATGTTGTTGTGAGGTCAAAAGCATTAGAAAGTTTCTAAAGAGTACCTTTTCCTGTAGGCGGGTGGATGAGGGACTTCCAAAGGCCCTGTCTTCAAGCATGAAGCATCTAAGCATCTAAGAACCCAGCCCCTGCCATCTCTGATACCTGCCTGAGGTTTCCTGAGGAGGGAGCCCCTCTCTCACTGCTTTTAGACAAACCATCAGGAGCCTGTGAATCAGATGCTGGATGCTGGTCCTTGGCTGTGCAGCCTTAAATGAGGCAAGCCATCATTTACTCACCGGATGGAGATGGCACTGAGGCTTCCCAGAGAGCCTTGCAGTTCTGTGTCCCTGAGAGCCATTCTCAGAATACACTCAGTCCCGTCCCTCGCACTTGCATCGACTCAATCATAATTCTTGGTTTTTGACATCTGTCACCTTTCATCCATTTTCTTTAATTGGTTTGCTTAACAGCGCACTGACCTGTAGTCTGGTACAAGAACGACGGCATCACCAGTATCACATCTCCTGTGTCCTCTTCTCCTCCTTGTCCTACTCTACTTGTAGGAGCTGGTTTTTCTCTTTCCATCATATGGATTGCAGGGATTAAAGTCAGGTGTGGTGACAGGTGCCTAAAACTGTTGAGCCATCTTGCTGTCCCCGTGAAACTTTGTTTTTAAAAAGTATTCCCAAGCTGGGCATGGTGGAGGAGCTTTTAATTCCGGCACTCTGGAGTCAGAGGCAGATGGAACTCCGGGTTTGAGGCCAAGGCTGGCCTGGTCTACATATCAAGTTCTAGGCTAACTAGGGCTATTTTAGTAAGAGACCCTGTATCAGTGGTTCTCAACCTTCCTAATGCTGCAAATGACCCTAACCATCAAATTTTGTTGCTAGTTCATAGCTAATTTTTTTGCTACCGTTAAAAATCGTAATATAAATATCTGATATGCAACCCCTGGGAAAGGCTCATTTGACCCCCAAAGGGGCCGTGACCCACAGGCTGAGAATTGTTAGCCCATGTGGTTTTCTAAATCATGCTAAGCACCATGTGTGTAAGATTTATCCATGCTGTGGCCATCACTATGGTTCGTTGCTTCTCACAACACTCTAAAAGCTCCATGGTCTGAACATAGCCCAGGCTCACTCATGCTTCCAGATATATGTGATGGCATTGTGTTTTGTTTTTTTGTTTTGTTTTGTTTTATTTGCTGTTTTGGACCCTCTGAACAGCAGTCTTGCAGACAAATAGTGTTGCACATCTGTAGGAGTTTTTCTCATGTCTGGGAGGGTAACCACTGGGCGATATAGTGTTTTACTACATACTGTCCCCTTCTCCCCTCAGATTGCCTGTTCCAGTTTGTGCACCCACCACCAGTCCACCAGAGCTGCGCCATCTATCGAGAACACTGGCATTAGGATTTTAGTCTCGTTGCAAACCCTGTGATGACTACGGAGGTGAAAACCCAGTTGACTGAGCAACCACTAGTGAGGTGAGGGCCTAAATGCACACAGGCCAGATAGGAGTGTGGGGGAAGTTGAGGCAGGATAGAAAACAAAGGTAGCCTTGGAGGAACTTGGTAAACAGGGGTCCAAGTTCTAGGAAAGACCCTCCGTCACCTTGGAATGCCTTGTACCAGGGCCTGGGTGCTGAGTTGGCATGGGTCTCTGAACTACACGCAAGGAGGCAGCTGGAGCACAGGAGTTCCAGAGTTTCCAGTGGCTTCCCCTTATTTGGGGGTAGAGGAGGCTACTAACTGCCACTTCAGAGAAGCTTTATTTCTTTAAGTCCTAGACTACCTAGAGCTGAAAGGAAAATGGAACAGGAAACTCAGGGAACAGCCCAGTGACATCCTCCCAGGAATCAGGAAAGGCACCCCTGGCTTAGCATATTTCCAGCTCACCTCCACTCAACCAAGGGACCTCCCTCTAGTCAGGGCCAGCAGGAGAGGGAAGTACAGAAAGCCACCAGGCAGGTGGTACAGCAGGTTCTCCTGGGATACCTTTGGCTCTAGACTGACCTCCTCCTCATCCTTCAGGGACAGAGGCTAAGCGTCCTCTGATCCTGGGGCTGAGGTGCGGTGCTGGGAACCTGAGACAGCTGGTCTCCAGCCTAGCCCAACAAGACAAGAGCTGGACACTTCTCTGCCTCCTCCCCCCACTCCCCCCGCTGTATCTTTGGTGTCAGCTCAGCATCTTCTGGGAGGGATCACATGGGGAAAGGACTCGCTGGGACTAGCCTGACCTTGGCTCTAGTCCTAACCCCTGAGTGCTGAGTCTAAGATAAGAACAGCACAGGGGAGGGTGACAACCTGAAGCTGCTTCTTGGGATTGCCAAAATTTTGGTTTGGGGAGAGACTTCTAATGGGGCCAGCCTCTGTTCCCAGAGAATATATAGAGAAGGGGCTTTTTGGCGCATCCTAGGGGTGTAGTGACTAGGTGGGTCTGAGGCTTCTCTTTCTGGTTTTAGATCTGGTCTCAGGAAGAAAGCAGGGATCCTGGGAGGTTCCATCTGCCCTCTGACAGATGAACCCCAGCTCCCTACCAAGACAGAGGCTCACTGGGATCGGATGGCATCACTGGGAAAGGATTCTGGGGGAACAAAGCTTTGGGGGTTATAGGGTGGGGGTGCCACGAAGGCAGATTTCAGCCTCTGAGACTTGGGTTCTATGATAGGCACTTGAGTCCTGAGGCCCCGTGAGCCAGAGGAAACACCATTCGCCTCTCTTTAACCATCCTCCTTCAGTCCAAAGGCAGAGCCCGAGCCCAAGAAAAAACCAGAGCACTTTCCGAAGAGCCACGGGGATGTGGGATTCCAGAAAGAGCCTGTGGTCCCAGGCATTGTGGATTTCGAGTTGATCCAAGAGGAGCTGAAGACCTCCTCTAAGCCCCAAACACCAAGTGCCTATCGCTTCGGACGCCTCAGCCACCACTCCTTCTTCTCCCGGCACCACCCCCAGCCACAGCGTGTGACACACATCCAAGGTAAGGCCAAGTGGGCAGAATCTTGCTACAGGGCCCGGCAGAAGTGGGTATTACTAATTGGTCACGAAATCTGGTATAGAGGCGCGCATTCTTATCCATTTTCCGGCGAAGCCTAGAGGGCATGGGGCCTGAGGGGCATCCCACGGCTGCCCAGTGGCCAAGCCAGGACTGACCTGGGGGATTGGAGGAAAGTGCAGGCTGCAAGGGCATATCAGAGGTGTCCCCTACAGAATTCCCAACCCTCTGAATCAGAGAAAGGGATGAAGGTCTCATCCCCCAGAACGAGACGCTCTGACTTCTGACACTGGCTGCCTCGTCCTTTTTGCCATCCATCCATCCACTCATCCATCCGCAGCATATACAGAGTGTGAACTACAGATCACTTGTCTGGACTCCAAAGACATGACAATAGGCAGAACAGACCACTGTCACTGCTGTCCTGGAGCTTACATCCAGCTGGGAAGGATGGGACATAGATTAGCTGTCACAGTCAGGTTCCAGAGGGGGAGATGGTCACCCTCAAAAGGTTGTCAGAGGAGTCCTAGTCAGTGATAAGATATTGAGAAAGATTAAAGGAAGCAAGCGTGGGAGCCAGAATCAATCAAGCACTAGAATGTCCTGCAGAGGGACACAATGGCCCTGGCTCTGTTGGAGGTACAGCAGGAGAGCCCCTTGGGTGTCTGGAGCAGAGTCAGAAGTAGAAGGGAAGAGATGGTTTCAGAGAGACATTGGAGCTGGATCAGGTGGACCCTGCAGGCCATTGGTGCTGTCTTAAGTCACCTCAGCTTGGCATGTGTATACTTGTATAATGCTGGCATCTGGAAGGCAGAGGCAGAAGGATCGCCACCATAAGTTTAAGGCCACCCTGGTCTACCTAAGAGGTCCTGCCTAGCCTGAGCCACCTAGGGAGATTCTGTCTAAAACTTGTAATAACAATCACTTCACTGCATCAAGTGGGGGCCATTGGGAGGGTGGCAGTACAGAAGTGACCATGAGAGGTATTTATACAAGGTCCCGCTGGCCTGGATGGAAGCCAAACCATCAGGCTGTGGGAGATTCCACAGCTCTAGTCTAATGGTACAGAAGGAAGAACCCCTAGGATGTTGACCACTGACTGAAAGTGAAGCATAGGGCAGATAGGCAGCGACATCATTCCTTAATCAGAGTATACAAATACCAAGAAGCCATCAAGGGTCAGTGGAGTAGGGGATAGAGTTGGGGAGGAGCCACAGATGGAGGAAAACAGCCCCAACAGCCTGGGGAGACGCACTGTGAGAGCCATTTGAGAAAAAAAAAAAACAATGCATTGTGAAGACACAGAGTTTTGGATTAAGAGGTTGAAAAGACTGGGAGACATTAGAGAAGAAGAGAAGAAGCTGAAGAGTCTGGAGAAGCCAGGAGAGTGAGGATCCTGGGACCAAAGCAGTCAAGGCCTAGCCAAGCTTGGTGGCCTAGGTTTATAATCCGAGAGCTGCGGAGGTGGAGACAGGAGGATCCCCAGTGCTCATGGGCCAGCCATCCTAGCTAGATGGGTAAACTGTGCACCAATGAGAGGCTTTATCTCAAATAAAACAAGGTAGATGGTGCCCGGGGAACAAGAGCCAAGGTCATTGTCTGCATACACGTGAACATGCACAGGTATGTCTGTGTACACACACAGACACGTGTACATGCATGCACGCATGCACGTGCGCTGTTTGATTTTGTGTGTATAGTGTGTGCACGCACATTCACGTCTGTGAATTCAGACGTGAATGTGTATGCACCTATGCCTAGGTATGCATGTGGAGGTCAGAGGACCATCTCAGGGGTCAATCCTTGCCTTCCATCTTGTTTGATACAGAGTGTCTTTGTTTTTCCACTGCGTATGCCAGGCTAGTTGGCCGGCAAGCTTCCTGAATATTTTCCCTCTACCCTTCCCCACCTCCCCAGATTATAGATGCTCACACTATGCATCTGGTTTTTATGTGGATCCTGGACATTCAAACTCAGATCCTCCCATTTGCATGGCAAGTGCTTTTACTAAGCGGTCTTCCCAGTCCCTTTTTTTTTAAACCATGAGTCTAGGTACTGAACTCAAATCCTCTTGTTTCCAAGGCAAGCACGTACCAGCTGAACTATTTCCCTGGCCCCCCCAGTCTTCATCTTTGAGCCGCCTACAATTCATTGACTTGTCACAGGAAGCCAGAAGGACCTCAGGAAGTCCCACAAAGGCCTGACTCTGTCTTGCATCTTCCCAGCTCACTGAAGACCCTGAGTAGATCCTCCATGTTCGTGTACCCATGAGCATGGTGGTTGCTGGTCTAGGGTTTTGACTATGATGACGTGAGTTTGCCGTTACAGGAAGAGGAGCACTTGAAGCACTCTCTGGCCCTCATTACTTCTTTCCAGATCCCTGGAGCTCCTGGGAGTCCTCCAGCCCCCCCCCCCCAAACCAAAGGTCTTGTCTCCCCTGCAGATCTCACCGGGAAGCCTGTGTGTATGGTCAGGGACGAGTTCTCTTTGGCACCCGTGACTCAGTCGGCACTCTTATCCAGCTGTCTGATGGGGATGCCCACCATCTCAGTCCCCATTGGGGACCCACAGTCCAACCGGAACCCCCAGCTTCCTCCTGGTGAGTACTTGGGCCACACCCTTCTATCTGAAGGTTCATACTTCTCCCAAAGTGTGAGGCTGGGCAGGGGCCTGAGACGGAAAGGGACATTGCCCTTCAATGGGCCTTCCTTTCTGTGTTGTTCCCCAGGCCCTAATCCCCTGGATTTGAGGGGTTTTGTTTTGTTTGGGTTTTTCAAGACAAGGTTTCTTTGTGTAGCTTTGGAGCCTGTCCTGGAACTCGCTCTGTAGACCAGGCTGGCCTCGAACTCACAGAGATTCGCCTGCCTCTGCCTCCCGAGTTACTGGGATTAAAGGCGTGCGCCGCCACTGCCCAGTTGAATTTGAGATATTTGAGGAGTAACAAAGAGCTGGAGTCAAACTGATTTTGGACACAGTCATATGACTTGGAGCTAGAGACAAGAGTGACACTTGTAATATTTAGTGACTTGTGCGCAGGCAGCAGTGTTTCAGCCCCCTAGCTGCTTTGTTGGAGGGACTTTAGAGGCCAAGCCCTACTTTTCTGCTGCTAAGGTTTGGGAGGGTCAGGAGGGTGGGGTTGTGGTAGAAATCCTGTTGGAACGGAACAGGGAACAGGGTGACAGCTAGCGCAGGGCAGAGAAGTCGGAGGGCTGGCTGAGGGATACTATACCTGTCTAGAAAACAGTTCAACGTCTTAACAACAGACGTGACCTCTTTTCTGAATCTCGGTGTTGGCTCCAGGCATCTAAAAGGGAAGAGAAGCCAGATCAAACTGCTGGTGTTTAGGCACGGTAGCCTAATGCCCTCCAGCCTCCCCCAGAGAAGACTCAGGGAGACTGTCAACATTAGCAACCCTTATTCCACTGTGGTTTCTAATGCTTCTCCCTCCGGGGCAGAAAGGCTTGTAACGTGGAGGGGGCACTTCCGCCTAGAATCTTTCCCCCGTGATGGCACGGGGAGGGCAAACAGGGCCCCCCCCCCAAGATCTTGTCCTGTCCTCTCAGACCTCTGGAAGAAAAATCTAAAGGACCTAGCTTCCCGAGTGGCTGTCTTCACTAAGGAAAACGAGTCACGGACTAACGAGGCTGGTGCTGAACCAAAGAGCGAGCCTGGAAAGAAAGCCTTGGTGAGTCCCTCCAAAGCTCTGCCACTGGCATGAGAGGGGGTGCTCCTAAGGGGGGCACAAAATCACACCTAGCAGAGAAATCCAAGAAGGGTCCCCAGAAGCACCCTCTAGGGTCATCCATAGTTGCCTATGGGGATTTGGGACACCTTTAGGGAACGGAGCCTGGAGCACAGGGTAGAAGTGGGTAGCGATGGAGAGGTGAGGGGAAGACTTTGAGTGTGGAAGGAAGAATTTCTATCAAACTTCCCCACACAGGTTAGCATTCAAGCTCCTCTGGTGTGGAGAACAGTTGGAGGTTTTCAGACAGAATGGGGATGACTTCACAGGTGTCCTTCAGGGACAAAGTGGTAAAGGCAGGTGGTCTTGGGACAGACCTTTGTAATGGAGTGTGTTTTGGGGTAGTACACGTGTAGAGGGGGGGCATGGCTGCTTGTCCCTGCTTGCAACTGATGCACTGAAGTGCTCAGGATAACACAGCCAAGCGTGCAGGTCTGGTTTTCTTTAAAATGTGGAGAAAATAGCTGTGGTGATTACTTCTCTGATCTCAGCATCAGGGAGACAGAGGCATGGCTGCACACTTATGGCGTAGCCTGTTCTGCACAGCAAGTTCCAGGCCTGTCGGGGCTGCTCACTAAGGGCTTGTCTCAAACCAAATAAAAGCAAAGAAAAACAATGGGGGAGGGGGTGTTTACATGCTTTAGCTGGAATTACATTGGCAGGAGGCTCTAAGCCTGCCTTGTACCCAGCATTTTCCAGGGCAGAAAAAGGGTGTCAAGGGCTGGGAAGGCAGCTCATTCAGAAAGCACTTGCCAAAAAAGAAAGAAAAGCACTTACTTAAGAGCATGGTGGAGCATGCAATCTATCCCTCCCAATCCCTCCAGAGGCAGAGGTTCTGGGATCGGGAAGCTTTGTGAGTTTGAGACCAACCTGGTCTACACAGCGAGTTTTAATACAGCCAGGTCTATGTAGAGAGACCGTCATTCAAAAGCAAAAAGTACTTGCCTCCTAAGCCTGAAGACCTGAGTTCAATCCTCAAAACCCACGTTTAAAAAGCCTGAAGGGCCAGGCGATGGTGGCGCACGGCTTTAATCCCAGCACTCGGGAGGCAGAGGCAGGTGGATCTCTGTGAGTTCGAGACCAGCCTGGTCTACAAGAGCTAGTTCCAGGACAGGCTCCAAAGCCACAGAGAAACCCTGTCTCGAAAAACAAAAACAAAAACAAAAACAAAAAACAAAACAAACAAAAAAAAAAGCCTGAAGGTGGGAGCAGGGGGCTGGCTGGAGGAATGGCTCTCCAGCCAGTTAAGAGTGCTATTTGCAGGCAGGTGGTGAAGCACACCTTTAATCACAGCACTCGGGAGGCACAGGCAGGCAGATCTCTGTGAGTTCAAGGCCAGCCTGGACTACTTGAGCGAGAGCCAGGAGAGGCTCCAAAGCTACAGAGAAACCCTGTCTAGAAAGAAAGAGAGAAAGAAAGAAAGAAAGAAAGAAAGAAGAAAGAAAGAGTGCTGTTTGCTATTACCAAGGATCCAGATTCAATCCCAGGAATCTACAGGGTAGCTCACAACCATTTGTAATTCCAGTTCCAAGGGATCAGCAGAGGTCACTGCACACATGCGGTGCACTCCAGACATGCAAACATTTGCACACATGAAATTAATCTTTAAAAAAAAATCCTGACATAGCAATGCATGCTTGTAATCTTTACTCTAGAGAGGCAGAGATAAGTGATTTCCAGGCCAGTGAAGGACCTTATTTTGGTGGGGGACAGGGGGGAAGAATGAGGACTGACACTTGAGGTTGTCCTCTGACCTCTCTGCACACGCATACACACTTGAGCAAACATGTGTACCTGTATACACATGAAAATGCAAAAACACAGGCAGACACACATGCACACAGGCAGACACACATGCACACAGGTAGACATACATGCACATAGGCAGACACACACGCACTCACAGAGAGGTAGCAGGCAGAGAATAAAGGACGTTAAGCTGTGAGTGTGAGGAACAGACCTCAGATACAGGAGCAGCTGAGCTTGGAATCAGGGTTGACACAGGGGTCTTGGCCCGGGATACTGCTCCCACACCTCCGACTTGCCTCTGGAGGAGAACGAAGACCACTGGGGCTATAGTCATCCAACCCTGGGATGCTGGGTTAGGATGCAGAAGGAGCCAGGGAGGACCTGGGACAGGATGGAGACGGCTTGATAGCATCCTAGGCCTGGCCTCTTCTTCATTTTCCCCCTGCCTTCTCCCACTTTCGTCAGCTCCTAGAGTCTCTTGTCACTTTCCTTCTAGCCAAAGGAAGAGCCTCCTGTGAGGGAGCAGGGGGCAAAGTACTCAGCCGAGACTGGTAGGCTTATCCCGGCTTCCAGCCAAGCTCTTAGCCGCCGCAGCCGCCAGGGCCAGCGGGGCCACCCTTCTGCCAGAGACGGAGGAGCCCAAGCCTCCGTTCTGGAGGACCAGGAGCTACTGGTAAGCCCTACTCTTGAGGCAGGGACTGCAGTGTTCTCAGCCTCCAGGATCCCAGGTCTTCCAGCCAGCACCCTCCTGGCCTGCCTTAGGGTGGCTTCTCCAGAGACAGTGCCCCCTAAGACCACAAAGACCATGCCCCAGGAGTCAGCGTCCTGGGCTCTGAGCTCCTCTGCTTCTAGACAGCCTGCTGTCATCCTGACCCTCTCTGTGTAAGTCCTCTCTCGTGGGTCATTGGTTAAACTGGGAGCACGGCTATGTTAGCACTGCATTACCACAGAAGCAGCTCTCCAGGGTCAGCATCCACCGCTCTTGAGAAAGTGGCCCAAGGACTGAGAACCTAGGAGAGGGAAGGGCCTGCCCAGAGCATTCTCAATCTACAGCCTGCAAGGCTAGCCTGGACTGGGCTTCCTGTGGTCTTTTCCTCATCGAGTCTGGAAATGAGCCCCCAATGTGCAGCAGTGGACAAGGGCATCAGTGATCCCTGGGAGCGTGCATGCATGTCCCCCAGAGCCAAAGTGCCACCACCTCTCACTGAAGGGTAGTGCTTTTAGGCCCAGCAACATGGGTAGACCAGACAGATCTCAGGATCCCCATTCAACCCACAAAGAGGTTTAGGCTCTTTTGGGTGATGTTTTGTGGCCAGGTCTCCCAGCGGATGGCCAGCATAGCCAGGCTAGAATCGGTACTTTCTCCACCATAGGGCAGCTACATCGCATCTGGAGTTAGGTTCTCAGGTCCCATGGGGAGGGGGCCCAGGGCAGGTAAGGAGGATGGGAAGAATGGGGAAGGGCCAAAGGGCAGTTCAGGGTGGGTGCTGCAAGTGGGTGCTGGGTGGGTGGGTTGGGAGGATAGGGTGGGCATCTAGCAGATACAGACCTGAGGGAGAAGCCCAACCCAGTTCCTACTCCACCAACGATAAGGTGGGCCTGCCAGGGTCTGATAGACCCCTCCAGGTCCTTGGGGAGGCTGCCTGGAAAGGGCTGAGGGAACCCTACTTTCCTAGGACTCCCAGAGCTCCACCTCCTACGGCGGGCCCCCCCTCCAGCCCTCCATAGATACAGCTGCCACCTGCAACTTGGCCTAGGAGGTCCCCAGAGCACATCCTGGACACAGCTGGACCATATACTGCCGCTACTTGCCTGGAGGAGACAGGGGAAGCCACTGGCTGAGGAGGCAGCTAGGAGTCGAGAGTCCCAGCTGCTTCGCTGGATGGAGCCCCTCATTAGGCACCTGGCAGAAACAATCTACTCTCGCCAGCAGGCTGCCTACAGCGAGTCCCCCACCTCCCGGAAAACATATCCAGATTCTGGGCGCTCCCGGGTGGGGAGGCCTTTGGGATGCCCCAAACCACCACCCAAAAGATCCAAGAATGCAACACTCGGTGCGTCTCTGAGGTGGTGACTGGTCAGCACTGATTTTGCTGTCCCAGTGAGGGGCCCTAGGTTCCAACCAGCCCAGTGGAGACTATGGGGCTGAGAGGTCTAACCTGTCCCGTGTCTGAGGCTTGATTCTGTTCTCAAGTCCCCGCAGGACACCTTCCTTTCTCAAGGCCTCACAAAGAGCAATTTCACAGGGACAATTCTGAGAAAAAGTCCCCCTCATCAAAGTGCTAGGTCTCATGGAGGAACCTTTAGGAGGAAGCATTTTAGCCAAGCATGTGGCCCGGGGACCCCATGTCAAGGGGAGGAGGCTGCTGTTCCCTGACCCACGTTTGCCTGCACTTCTGGCTGGAGTGTGACAGGGGCTCCCACTGACTGCAGCCTGTCCTCTTTCACATAGATCTTGGAGCTTCTTTGTCAGATTCTACAGATGGATTCTTTAAGTGCCATTCAGTTCTGGCTGCTCTATGCGCCACCAAAGGGTGAGGACACCATAATGCGGCCCCCTCTCCATGTGGAGGGGGGCTACCCATTCCTTGCCCTTGTTCCTGATCCTGCAGGACAGATGTCACTCAGCCTTTTCTCTTTTCTCCTTGGGAGTCCCAAAGCATCCCAGAGGCTTCCCATTATCATTCCTCCCTCCTCCCCTACTTCCTGGCAGCATTTCTGTGGCCCTGTTCTTTGGAGGGGGTCCCTCTTTAGTAATGGCCTCAGACATAGGTGTCTGGACGGGGAAAACAGATAAAGATTGTTCCCAGCAGACCCAGCCCCTCCCGGTCACTGTAGGAAACATGCACATAAGTGCAAATACCAGAACACATAGGCTTGTGCAGAGAGCCCACAGATACATGTCTGCTTCGGAACAGTGAGGGAGTGGGGTGAATCCCCAGGGAACGAGTTTATAAGCTCACTAGAGGAAGGGATGGGAAAAAGGAAGAGTTGGAGGGCAGGGGAGATAAATCCCAGATTTCCAAATGTGATCCAGGAGGGAGGAAAGGAGGTGGGAGGAGCGGAAGGAGCCAAGTCCAAAGTGCAAATGGCTCTCATGGTAGGAGAGGGCGATGTAGAGGTAAGGGCTCAGCACACAGCTACAAGCACTGTGAGGATCTTCCTTGGGAGCGGGGGCCTATGAGGAGATGAAGGATGATTAGAGGAAGATGTCCTTCACCAGGGCTGGGACCAGCTGGTTGAGATAGGAAAGGGGCTGAGGACACTGCCCTGTGCTATTTATAGAAAAAGACTTGGCGCTGGGACTTCTGCAGACGGCGGTGGCTCAGCTCATCCCCCAGTCCCTCCCAACCCTCCTAGAGGAGAAGCTCTTGAACCAGCTCCAAGAGCTTCAAGAACCTCCTCAAGAGATACAACAGGCAACCTACAGGTGGGCTCCGGGCCCCTCATCTGCTCTTCTGTTTCCAGAACCACGCCCTGGGGGTCAGCATCTGCCTACCCTGGCTTTGTGACCCCACCTGTAATCCCAGCACCATAGCAAGGGGAAATGAAGGCAGGATCCTTGAAGAAGGCTGGGCTAGATGTGTCTGTGTGCTTCAGATGCAGTAGAGAGATCCTGCCTCAAGGAGTAGGGTGGGGAACACCCATGTGGGTGCAAGACGTCTGGTCCTCACACGCTAATACAGCAAGAGCCTTATGCACTTAGTCATCTTCCCAGCTGAACACCGAGGACTGGAAACTGCAAAGTTGGGAGACTGAGAAAAGACCATCTCAGGAGGTGGGAGGTGCCCAGGGCCTGGTGGTCAAGAATGAACAGACTGCAGGGATTAAATTTTGGGGTGCTGGGGCATGGTTAAGAAAGTGGCTTAGGTTTGGAGGAGGCATATTTTGGTGGGTGGTTGTTTTATGGGTCAGGCTGGCCTCAAACCGGCTTTGTACCTGAAGATGACCTTGAGCTCAACCCTCCTGCTCTGCCTCCTGAGTGCTGGGATTACAGGTGTTTACCAAACAGCGCTGGGGATGGAACCCAGAGCTTCCCACGCGTTAGGCTAGCATTCTACCACCTGAGCTACAACCCCTGCCCTGGGGCATAGGTTCTTGCTTGGGTCCTAGAGCTGGTTTTCTTTTTCTGCTTGAGAGAAGAAAGGATGCTCAGGAGCTGGGGTTCATCGGTAGATAGTTGTATAGGCCCCGGGTTCAATTCCTACTGCTGCAACACACAGTAAACATACCAGCGGAAGAAGAGGACAACAGGGAAGGCAAGCATTACTGTGCTCAGAGGTGAGACCCCAAGTTGGCCTCTTCACCTCTCTCTCAAGCCTCCTGCCAGAGGTGTGGGGGAACTGACGTGGCTGTGTGAAGGGTAACAATAGCTAACAGATCACATGAGGCAGAAAAACATTAGTCACTTGTCCAGAATTAGCTTGACAGACAAGAGGCTGTGGGATAGACCATAGCCCTGGCTATCTCAGACAAGAGGACCTTGGTACCCCATGGCTACAGCAGACACACAATCACAACTGTCTGCTTCCTGCTTTGGAGGTGCAGGAGGCTGTCTGGGTCCATCTGTGGACAGTTCCGCACCAGCTCTTCAGGAGGGGTGTCTTGCCTCTTCTAAGAGCTGGTGGCTGACCACACCTCTGCCACCTCCCAACTCCTAACCAACCTACCGTCTGTAGACTGGGTCTCCCAAGCCTGTCATTTGTATTTGGTTATAGTCCATCCCTGAAGAAGACGAAGACGCCGCCTCTATCCAAGACGGAGAAACCAGGTAAGAGCCCTCAAAGGGAGCTGTTTATTCTAGAGGCTCACTGAGGCCAGCTCTGGCTAGATTCCTGCCCAAGGAAGTTGGGTTACTTCTTTAATGCAGCAAATATTTATTGCATGCTTACTGTGTGTCAGGTTCTGGCGAGTCATGAGGAAAGAATTGGGACAAGTCCTATGTGATTGGGGCTTATATCTTAGAGAGGAAGTATACAAAGGGCAGAACCCCCAGGAGGACAGCAGGTTAACTGGGAGGAGCTCCCTATCCTGAGCCACAGAAATATCCAGGGAAGGCCTTGGATTAGAGCTCCCCATGCCTGGAATACTTATGGAAGAATAAGTTGGTTGGGGTATCCAGGCCTTCTGGGTGGAGGAGAGCAGTATGAGGTAAGACAAGCCTGGGCCTGTCTTTTGAAGAGTGTAGGACACTCTGGAGGGAGTAGGATGTAGTATGTCCCTGTGGTCACTGTGCAAGGCATGGATGGGGGTGGTGGTGGCAAGAGGGGACAAGGGAGCCCAGAGAGGAGGCCTTTGGAGGAGACATAGTATCTTAGACCAGACAGTGTGGGGACAGCTGGAAGGGAGAGTATGCCTGTCGACAGTGGATATGATTCTCCTTTGTCAGTGTGTAGCGTCCCAAGGGCCCAGAAGCGTGTCTGGCATGCAGTAGGTGCTTGACTCGTGTTTGGTATCCAGATTTAAAAAAAAAAAAAAAAAAGGACCGGGGAGTGGCAGGACTCACAGAAGTGAGCTAGTTTGTCCCAAGTCCCCCACTGAACTGAAGGCAATGCTGGCTTTGACATTGCCCTACCTCCCTGTCAGCTCTCTCATCTCTTGCCTCTCCCCTCCTCCAGAGTTCATTGGCAAAGCCCAAGTCCTCCGCGTGCATTCCAGCGAGGACTCAGAGGAGAAAACGACCAAGTCAAAGGCCGAGAGCTGAGGAACACAACCCAGAGCCCGGAGACTTCTGTCTAGCTCAAAGGCAGCTTCTAAGCTTGGGGCTGGGGGCTCCTGTCGCGCTATGTCAATGCCAGCCCCTGGTCTCCAGCCACACTCTACTAAATAAAATGCAGCTTTCCCCGGACGACGGCAGTTCTACCCTACCGCAAGATGGTTTTAGATGATTTTACTCTAGAAGTGTGGAGCTCCCTGCCATGGAGAAAGCCCAGGGTACCACTCACAGTTAGCAACGATCTTCCCATCAGTTAATGTAATCAAGATAATCTCCCACAGGCAAGCCCAGAGGCCTGTCCTGTGGGTGATTCTAGATCAGAGATTCTCAACCTATAGGTCACAACCGCTCTGGGGGGCCACCTATCAGATATGTACATCATGAATCATAACAGTAGCAAAATTACAGTTATGAAATAGAAGCAAAAATAAAAATAATTATATGGTTGGGGTATTAAGGGGTCACAGCAGTAGGAAGGTTGAGAACCGCTGCTCTAGATCCTGCCAGACTGACGACTAACATAAACCTTCACAGTCACCATGCCTGGCTCCAGCTTTCACTATTTAAGTGCCCCACTTTTAAAGCCCTTGGTCACCCTGTTGGTTAATTATTTCCCCCCAGTGGTGGTATAAGTGACAGCTGTGCCCATGGCTGCCTCTCTGGCTTTATCGTCATTCTGCCACTAGCTGCTTCCACATTTACCCCCCATCCATTTTTGGAAAATGTGGTCAAATATAACAGGCAAGTTATCATCTTAGCCACCCAGAAGGTGTGGTGGTTTGAACAAGAATGACCACCTTAGGCTCATAGATTTAGAGGCCCAGGGAGTGGCACTATTTGAACGGATTAGTAGCTGTGGCCTGTTGGACAAAGTGTGTCAATGAGTGTGGGCTTTGAGGTTTCAAAAGTCCATGCAGGGCCCAGTCTGTCTGTCTGTCTCTCTCCCTCCCCCTTTGCCCGTGGATCCAGATGTAGAACTCTCAGCTACCTCTCCAGCACTATGTCTGTCTGCTATGAAAATGGACTAAACCTCTGAAACTGTAACCAGCCCAATTAAATGCTTTCTTTTATAAGAGTTGCTGTGGTCATGGTGTCTCTTCACCACAACAGAACACTGACAAAGACAGAAGGGCAGTGGTCCCTCCATTGTGGGACCATCATCCATCTTTGAGGCTATTCCATCTTGCAGAAGTGAAACTCTGCACCTAAAGACTTAGTCTTGTCTAGTTGAACTACTACTACAAATATGTATTGGATTAGGTAATTCATAGACTACCGAAGTCCATTTTGAGCTCTGGAGATTGAAAAGCCCAAGGTTAAGGCTTGGGTAGGTTTGGGGCCTGGTAAGGACCTGTCACTCCTAGACGGTACCTTCTGTATGCCATGTGTGGCAGAATGGGAAGACACACTCCCATGAGCCCCTTTATAAGGGTCCCTATTCACTTCCTATTCATGGAGACAGAACCTGCATGAGACAACCCTTCCCAAAGGCCTACGTTTCAAATTGAGACAGGGGCTCACCATTTAACCCAGACAGGCTTTGAACTCCAAATCCTCTTGCTTCAGTCTATAAAGTGCTGGGGCTACAAACTGTGAGCCACCATGCCTGGTTAAGTACCAATTTCTTAATACTACCAGCCACCTTGGGGACACTACTTAATATTATCACCTTCCAACATATGAATTTGGGAGGGTAGGTGGGGAACCATAACGCCCACAAAACAGTAAGCCCCCACTCCCCTCTTCTCGACTATTGGAAACCACGCTCCAGTTTTGTGTCTGAGAGTGGAATAGTTCCCAGGCGTCCACTAGTACAATCCTCTTTGTCTTTCTGTGTCAGGTTTATTTTGCTTGGCATAACTTCTTCAAGAGTCAAACAAGTTGTGACGTGTGTCACAGTCGCCTGCCACCTGCTTTTACTGGTGTAGCAGTCAAGCTCTCCCGCCCGGACCACACAGCGTCATCAAGGTCTGAGCCCCACCGAGGATCTGTTCATAGCATAGGGCACATAAATACCATCACCTCTCTTCACTAACAGGTGAACTAACAAAGTATCCACATAGTAAAAGAATCCTAGACGACACTTGCCTCAATAATAAACAACCCCAGTTGGCATGAAAACCCTGACACTATGGTGGGCCTGTCTTTAATTTCTCAAGGTGTACTCCTGGGGGGGGGGGGGAGCTGCCACTGTAGATTCTCATGGTTTCAGTCCCTGGTCAGTGGCTACCCTGCTCTAGGCCTGAGAGGCAGAGCGTCAGGACAACAAATGAGAGGTAGAGGCGGATGCTCATTGCAGCCAAGAAGCAGAGAGAACAGAATGGAGGCTGGGACAAGACGGAGCCTCCAAGGACATGCCCCCTCCATTGGGTGCCTCCCTGCAGCTAGTCCTCAAGTTCCCATCCCAACCCCAAAAGTTCCCATCGCCTCCCAACAACTGGAATCCATCAATGGGTTAGTCCCGAGGTAGGAGCAATTTAATCACTTGGAGTTGAAAAGGTTTAGCAATTTGCAGGTTCGGGGAGGGCGACTCTACCTGGCATGTCCACTCTCCTCTTCCAAGGTTTGCATAAAGGCCAGCTCTGTCCAACCAGAGCCTAGTCCTTTGGCACAGGACTGGTTAATGGGGGTAGTTAAGTACTGGGCCAAGCACAAGCTACTTGGGAAGATTTTGTGCTGAACGTCACAGGATGCTGTCTATCACTGGTCATCACCGCTCCATGGAGACAAGTGCCGGACACATCTCACTGTTTGTCCCTGGTTCTCTCACATTCGTTCCCGTACAGGAAGTGTTAAAATACCAAGTGTTGCTGGGTTGTTGCGGTGCACGCCTTTAATCCCAGTAGCAGAGGCAAGGAGATCTCTGTGTTCAAGGCCAGCCTAGTCTAGGGGGCAAATTCCAGGGTGGCCAAGGCTACCCGCAGAAATCCTGTCTTAAAAAACAAAAACCAAAGACAAGTGCTAATAAGTGTTCATTTTTATGCTTACCATCTTCACCGTAAGAGCACAGCTCAGAAGCATCAAGAATGTTCTAACTGTTAGGGAATCTTCCTCATCCTCTCCCAGAGCAGCAAAACTGAACCTCCACTGCCATTAAGCAGGAACTCTCCTCCCTCCTCCAAGCCACTCCCAGCCCTGGTTCTTTGTTTTGGTTCCCACTGTTTGGCTGTGCCTTTGGAGCACCTGGAGTTTCCTGACTGGCTTATTCCACCTCACAATGCTTTCAAGGTTCATTTAAGTAGCGTTTAGGTCAGGATTTCCTACCTTTTGGAGGCTAAATAATATTCCACCACGTGGACAGATCACATATTTTGGGTTGGTGTTGGGGTGTGTGTACGCGCGCATGAGAGCACACTCCCGTGCGTGTGTGTGTGTGTGTGTGTGTGTGTTGCACTTGCTAGGAAACTGCTCTACTGCTGTGGAATATTATTTTTACTAGGCAAAGATGTGTTACATTTGTTTATGCTGCAGAGTAGTTAACTGTGTAAAGGTGTGTTCCTTTTTTTTATGCTGCATTTGTTTAATGATATAAAGATGTGTTGCATCTGGTTCACATTGCCTGCCTAAGGCACCTGTTGCTCTAATTAAAAGGTCAATATCCATAGCTAGGCAGAAGAGGGATAGACAAGGCTGGCTGGCAGAGGGAATACATAGGAGGAGAAATCTAGGCTCGGGAGAAGAAGAGAATGAGGGGAAAGAAAGGGACATGCCTAGGGCAAGAAGTCAGGCAACTGCCAGACGGACAGATTTGAGTAGCAGCGAAAGTAACTTATACAGAAGGAAAGAAAAGCAAAACGCCCCAAGGCAAAAGGTAGATAAAGAGAAATCAGCTACTTTAAGTTAAAAGAGCTTTCCAGAAACGAGGCTAAGCCAGGCTGATTATTCAAAACTAGTAAGTCTCTGTGCCATGACTTGGGAGCTGGTTGGTGGCCCCAAAGAAAAAGCCTGGTACACTCTCCCACTAAGTTCCCTGTCCTGCCCCTGGACCACATTGTTGATGTATTATTCCTCTGATAGATGATGTTAGGCGGGTCCCACTTTTGCCTGTTGTTTTCTCTGGGGATAAGCATCACAAGGATAGCAGGCAGAGTGCTGTGAGTTTGAGGCCAGCCTGGTCTACAAGAGCTAGTCCAGTCCAAAGCCACAGAGAAACCCTGTCTCGAAAAACAAAACAAAACCCAAAAACAACAACAAAATGAACTGGGTAGGGGGGAGAGGATCTGGAAGGACTTGGGGAAGGGAAAGATTGTGAAATAGAAAAAAAGTAATGTAAATTAAAAGGTCCCAATTACTCTAAATGAAACAAAATGTTCCTCTGCAACACCTCAGTTCATCTATTCGGCTACCAAGAGCATTCTGATCACACCTTGGAGAGTGCTGATGGGAAGAGATGGCGAAATAGTGCTACAGTGAAAATAGTTCTGTGGACATACACAGGAATGTTCCAGTGCCTGGTTCTCCCACTCAGTTGACTTGCTCAACAATCAGTCCCCTCCCCCGTTCCACTTCACTAGATGAGAAAGGGACAGAGAAACATTTTCATCAGTGACAGGGAAGTCTGTCCCACAGTCTGGCTTCAAACGCAGGACAGACAGGGAGCATGGCCTTGAACTCTTGATCTTTGTGTTTCCACATCCCCTGCGCTGGGACTACAGGTATGCAACCAAGCCTGGTTTCATCTTCAATTCTTAAATATTTAATCTACACAGAACAATTAGGAGGTTGATACTCTTGTTAAAATTAGATAAGGCGCTTAAAGAAACAATGTGTGGGCTTGGGAGACTGCTGAATGACCTGGGTTTGGATACTCAGAACCCACAGAAAAGCTAGGCACATCAGTGTACATCTGTAACCCCGGCACTTCTGTCGAGATGGGCGAGAGAGACAGGGGATTATTTAGAAGCCCACGGGTCAGCTCTTCTGGTACACAACGCGGTAGAGCACAAGGGACCCTGTCTCAAAAGAAGGCTAGGACTGACACCTGAGGTCTTCTGACCTCCACACACATGGGCGTAATAATAGCAGCGATC